TCTTTACAGATAAGCATGAAGCTAAATTAAAAGGAGTAATATACTTTCAAGCCATTGAAGAAGTATATTATGATCACCTCAAGAATGCTAATAAGGTAAACATTAGTTTCCTAGATTCCTACAATTTGAATGCATAATGAAGTTGGGAAAAATATTTATTATTTTTGGATTCTAAGTAATTTCAATGTGTTGTTCTGACATAAGAGATAAATATGATCAGAATGGTGCTGGAAAAGTAGTAAAAGTAAGGGGATGGCTGATCTTTTTAAGGAAAAAAATGTCATGGCAAAGTGAGGAAATATTCTGTACATATTGGTGTGGGGGATCCCGCAAAGTGGCTCTACTAGGGTTCCAGAAAGGAGCGATTATATAGTTAATGAGGGGGATGATGAGCAAGATCTTAGTAGGACTATGAATAACAGCTACTACCTATTAAGCACCTGCTATCAGCTAGCTGCCTTGCTAGGGCTTTACAAACTAGCTACTAAGGGAATTGGTGAGCTCTGGTGAGATTTCTTGTGCAAAAAGGCCAAAAAGATGGCCAATCCTGAGAAAAGTGTTGCGGGGTGGTGGTGTGAGTTACACTAGAGCAAAAGCAATGCCTACATCAATTTTATATACTGGAACTTTTGAAGGGAACAAAGGCTTCACATATGTCTGTGTTATTTAATATTCTATTTCAAGATGTTTGTTTTATATACTTTTCTTTTTTTGAATTTTAGAGTCCTAATCCATTACTCACCTTTAGTGTCAAGACGCATGACAGAATCTATTATATGGTGGCCCCATCACCGGAAGCCATGCGGATCTGGATGGATGTTATAGTTACTGGAGCAGAAGGTTACACTCACTTCTTGTTGTAGTGAACTGGGGCAACAGTCCACTTCAGGGCAGACTGCAATAACCTCTTACAAGAATGAAGCCATATTCAGTCCCAGATGGGAAGACCCAACAGAACCATCCCTTGAACTGTGTACACTCAGAACTCCTTTCATATTAATAAGAAGTCATTTGTAAAAAGGAATGAAAGAGTTTTAATTCAAAGCTTGATCATAAATAGCAAAAGAATTGAAGTTCCCATGAGAAAGAAAACACTATTTTAGTAAATAGCATCACTTATAGGAACATTTCTTATAAACAATTTTCATGAATTGTTGGTTTTTGTGAAATAAACTACACAGTTTACAAAATGTCTGTAGATACTTAGAAATATGGAATTATTTTAGCACCCAAATCATTAGCATTGACATTATTGATAATCAACTGGCTCTTTTTTTTTAAGTAGCATTTTGCTGATGGTTATTTTATAAATATAAACAAACAAGGGCTTTGAGGGGAATATGTTTTAGGAGGAGTTTTGCCTTAATTTTTAAGTATTGCACCAAAGCCAAAGATTTGACATGATGACCTCTGTTTAATAGCAGTAATTGCAATTGATAAACTGCATTTAGTGTTACTCTGTTTTTCAAAATGGAATTTAATGCCATCAAATGCCTAGGAAATTGACTTTGTAGTGTTACCACCGGCATAAATGACTGTACATATAAAGTAAACCACTTTTTCTATAAAAGAAGAAAGTGCAAAAAATCTGTGTGTTTTAGAAAAATCTGTCTTAGACAACAGGCATTCTATCACATTGGGCAATTTTAAATAAAGAGAATGTTTGGTGGTAGGAGCTCATTTCGTTGAAGATTTCTCCATTCCTGGCACAGAATAAAGGCAGCCAGTAGCTCATTTCTTTAGATTGTCTGATTTCTCTTTGTTATAGAGCACACCTGCTAACTGAACCCTCATATGACATAACTATGAAATCATAGCTCTGTTTTCACCAAAGAACAGACCCAGTTAAAATACTATTTACAGAAGTGGTGTAGTTCTATAAAAAGGCAAATGAAGTTCAAATTAACATTCTCTGTAATGTACTATTTTATTATGTATTTTTTTTTTTACAATTAGCTTTTGTTTTTCTGAGTTAAGTTAATTTTTGTTTAATGAAAGGACTTCAGGCAAGTCTCTTTTATTATGGTTTTTCAAGTGCCATTTATTCGAGTTTATCATGTTTTGCGTGTTTATAAGTATGAATGTACTCTTTCCTAAAATGTGGCAAATGAATAGAAGTAGAAAATGATGTGACTTACTAGTACCAGGGGAAATGATTAGATTAGAAGTGTCTCTCTATAAAATTTTGTCAGGCCTCACTGGGTACAATTTTCTTTTTAATTTGTAGTGTATAGTTTGTGTACATGTTGCCAATAATAAGATTTTGCAACTGGATGACACAAGATTTTACTTGAACAGTGAAGGAAAAAAATCATGAGTGTGGAAGACATTTTTAAAATCTGATTTTGCAGAGACCACTCTTAAATCGTGTAATGATCTATGAGAGTGAAATAAATTGCTAAAATTTTGTTGGTTAATGTAAAGATATCTTTTCTATACTATACTTTCTTCATAGGATTGTAAAGGTATTCTAATAACTTGCATGATGTAGTAAACCTTTTAAATATGTATGTTAAATATGTTGAGTTTGGATTAAAATGTTGACCTGACTCACATTTGAAAATAAACTTATCTTTCATTTGGAAGCCACCTATCAGTAACATGATGGAGGATGAATTAATCAGCAAAAGACAATTGTAGAATCTATATAAAGATTTTTGTGTGCTAACATTATGATTTGTAGTCTATAAACTGAAGTAATTAGGAGTACTAGACATATTCCTATCGCTTACAAAGTGAGATGAACCCTGAAAAAAATCTGACATCTTGTTGTCTCTTTGCACAAATAGAGTTATTATTGGGGATTGCAAGGACTGTATTTACTTGTCTTTTTATCTTACAGGGGAAAAAATCATGCAAATGTAAAGTAAAGCTTTACTTGGTGGGGACCTCATTTGTTTCCCTGAACTAAGGCAGAAGATTTCTGAGAGAGAAATTACCCTCAACAATATTGTCCATTTACTCTTTTGTATGTTAATGAAGACAACATTGGCAGTTTCCAGAGTAGAAACAAATTTGTCTACTTCAAGTTCATCACTGTCCGTAAAAACATCTACACTTGCCACTAGCCACAATTTTCCTGATTTGTTAGAGTGTTAAGAGTGGATAGAGAAAACAATCTGTGGATTTCCCTGCTTTTCCATGCAGTGCTTTTCCCACTATGAGGATGAGTCAGATTTTGCATTTAGCTGCATATAAAATACAAGAAGATTTGCAAGGATAAAGGGGGAGAAAAGGGAGAGAAATGATTGAGAATATTTGCAGTTATCCAAAACCTATAGGGAGAAGGGTTTATTAAGATATAAAGGATGGTGAGATGACATGCATCACCTTAGTAATTTTAGTCCCTTGGAGTCTACAAGACTAGCAGAGAACTAGCAACATAGCTCAGCATCTTTTGGAAGTATATCCTGAAATCAAGTGGCTGTCCTTACTATGCATCCTTACTCCTTACTATATGAAAGGCATTGCACCTCTCAAGAAAGAGATCGATTCAATCCTTATCCAACTTCTCCAGCGTGTTCCAAAAGGACAGGTCCTCAAGACTCCGAAGACATGCTGTATTCACTATTTCCAAATTTCACCAACTCTGGCACCAATCATTGCTCCAAAAGTTATAACCAGGATAGTAAAGTGATTTTACTCAGTTTTGTAACAGCTACAGTAATTTTTAAGTAGGAAAAAACTCGGGAGGTCCTTACTAGTTGATGCTCTATGCCCCCAGGAATTAGTTCGAAAGTGTCAGAGCTGGAATCCAGAAACCTTTGTTCTACAATTTATTCAACTATTTTTCTACTGGTGGCCATTCCACTTTTTTTCTTCTCTTTGCTTCTAAAAATGGTGCTGTATTGAATAATATGCATTCTTATGAACTAGTGATGTTTTCTATAGGATAGTCACAAACTGGGACCACTGAGTCAAACAAAAGGCATTGGAAATGATGCATATTTTTAAATTGTAACAGCTGTGGCCATATAACTTGATAACAGATTTTAGCAATTCACCTTCCCAGAAATCATACATAAGTGCCAGTTCCCAGCATTCTTGCCAATACTTACTGTGTTTCATTTTTTGCCGATTTGATAAATGGAAAAAGTGACATGTTTTTTTTATTCCCATTTTTCAATTAGCAAGGTCGAATATCATGTTTACTTATATGAGCTGCCTATTCTCCGTCATTGGCCAATTTTATTGGAATTATGTATTTTTTTATTTCTAGGAGCAGGTTGGATAGGAGTATTGATGTATCTATGCTGCAAAATCTCTTTCTAGGCTCTCATTCGACTTCAGGTGGTTTTTGCTATTTAAAAAGTTTACATCCATATACAAATGTATTTTTCTTTAGAATTTTGTGGTTTGAAATTTTGATTAAGAAGTTCCTTCTATCCCCGGACTATAAAATAATCTCCTAAATTTTATTTAATCCTCTCAATTTTATTCTTCCGTTGAGATCATTTATCTACCGGAATTTATTTTTGCATATAGCATGAGGCAGGGGTCAGGATAATTCAATAATTTACTAGTCAGGCATAGAAAGAAATAGAACAAAAACAGAGAATTGAAAAGGGGTGAGGGAGCGGGAACGTCCGATTCCACCCCAGGTATTTATGTAAGATTAAGGTCGGATCTTAGAAGCATTTGCGGTACAGGTTAAAGCTGTCACGAGGTGAGAGGGATTTGTGATGCAGCAAGCCTAGCATTTTATGTTCCCGCCTCCTGGTGTTCTCGGGATGCGATTCCCTATCTGGGAACGTAGGATACGGTTCCTCCCTGAGCTTCCAGGCCTGGAATATCTATCCGCCCGCTGAAAAGGCAGCCTCCCGACAACACTCAAAGTTAACATTCCAAACTGTCACAGGCAAAAACTGCCTAAGACGAGAACCAGCGGCCAAACAGCCAGAATGGCAGGAGCGACAACGCAATGCGCATGTGCGCTATCCGCGGAGTGAAAGTCGGGCCGGGAGCTGTTTAGCAAGTTCCGCCTTCCAGCCGGCAGCGCATGCGCAGCCTTGGCTCCTACGTGTCCTACGCGTCTCTGTACAACAGTGCGGGGTGCGGGGACAGCTGGGAAGATGGCGGGTGTGGGCATGGCCGCTGTGGCTGCTTGGGTACCTTGTCGGAGCTGGGGCTGGGCAGCTGTCTCCTTCGGCCCCTGCCGTGGCCTCAGCGCGTTACTTGCACGGATGCCCCAGCGGGCGCCACGGTGGCTCCCAGGTCAGTGTCCGAAAGGCGGGAGTAGCCTGCGTTCTTTCGAACGCCTCGGGTTCCTTCAGTTCCTGTACCTGTACAGTGCGTTTTTTGGTGCCCCATTCGAGACTGCCCCTTCCTTAGCACCCCAGTGCTAGGCGCTGTGTACAATTCTAGTGCAGGCTATGAGGAGAGCCCTGCCGCGACCCTGGGGCGTTCGGGCAGCCCGGGCCCTTGCTGGCGTTTTACGCTCTGCAGTTTAAGGAGCTTCTGCTCTCTGTCTCCCCTGCATTAAACACCGACCCTAGGAAGAATTGAGATGTGTGTTTAATACATTTGATTATCAATTGCTTCTAGCAGTTTACAGATTGTGACTCTTAAAATGCTTAGACCTACCCTCCCTTGACTTGAAGGGGCTTAAAATATGAGGCATGTTCTTTTTAAAAGTGTAGACGCTCTCGTCAAGCCTAATTTCTAGTTTTGTCTTCTTAATGCTTCCGCTCAGCGAAAGAACCATAGTCAATACTGTACAAAGGAAACTAGAATTTGGACCGGAAAAATCGGAGAACCTCACGTGTACACACTAGTTTGTGTTTGAATTATAGCCTTTTAGTTTTTAGCTTTGTTTGATGTTCATACCCTTGCCACGCGGAATGGTAATTAATTTCATGGCAGATACACTTTGTTTTGAGTGAAAAACTTTAAACTTATATAATCAGCTTAACTTACATTTAATTTTAATTGTACACAACCAAAAGGAGTATTATGTACAAGTACTCCTAGCAAAGTATAGTATGTCACTTTGTTAACCAAAGTATAATAGTCTTTCATCTATTTAGCAAACATTCATTGAGCACCAGGCTTTGAGCTAATCCTTGTGATGCAAAGATGATTTGTGGATATATTATTAAGAATCTGTCCACTTATAACTCACCAACATCAAATAAATTGTAATTATCTCAGGGGAAAATTATTGTGTTGGGAGGTAATATCTGGATGAGGATAGAAAAGATTTTTTGAATGCTCAGCTAAGGAAGTGGGAAATGAACATTTTTTGTTGATCTGTGGACCAACATAACTGGCCCCTACCAAAAGTCTGAAGTTTGGCATAGTTCTCTATTCATTGAAACTTTGAAACAAGCTTACGTGTAAAAGGGATAGCTTTAAGGCCTTCAATTAAGTTTTTTAAAAAATCAACTTTTTAAATCCAAAATGGGGAAAACTTTAGCAGCACACAATGAAGAAAGAGACTGAGACATTTTCATCAGCCACAAGACAGTGGAGGAAGGCTTCATTTAATAAAAAAGATAGGTTAGTTCAGACAAAGTCTAAGGAACTACATAAACCTAATGCCTTGGGAGGAGGAGGTGGGATTAAAAATGATTTTGTTTTTTTTTAAAATATCTTTCTGCTTTTTTTTAAGAGCAAGTATCATTTTTATAATAGGGAAAAAATTTGAAAAACAATGAAATGGAGTTAGTTCACCAATTGTACTGTTACACTTAGTGGATTATTACGCTAAGGTCTGTGTGTACAGAAAGGCAAACTGACAAAATGCAAAGTGATTGTGGAGTCCTGTGAGAAATCCTTTTCCAAAAATGATACCATTCTATGTTATTCAAAGTTATTGTAAAGAAACTACTCTTTGAACCTACCTCAGCTGATATAAAATTATGATGGGCTGTAACCATGGCCTTACTATTTCATGGATGGAAGTGGAGGGGTGGGGGGGACACAGCACCTCCCCCTTTGAAACAGTTTCTCAAGGGCAGACCAAACCTGTTTCTCCCTCTCATCCCCCTGAAAATAGAGGATGCGAAACTCTTCAAACATTAAAAAAAATAAGAAAGACAAAAATCTCACAAGAGAGGGCTGAAAGTAGGTAAATCTGAATGTTGACTGATACTGTTTAGGATAGATGATACAGCAACAACAGGAAAATGTTTTGATGAGTCTCATTTTTGTTGCCTTGGAATTTCTACCTCATTGTGTATTTTGGAAGAATCAAGATTGGACCTTGATCAAAGAAGGTACTGATTTTGACACGATTTTAAAACTAGAGATCTCATTCATAGACTTCTTAATTTAGTACTTTGAGTCTATTTGTTTTTCCTATTAAATGGAAATGGTATTTAACATCAAATTCAATGAGTTAAGAAAGTTAAGATTGAAAATATATGTGGTTTTCTAAAAACTGAATTTGCAAACCATAGTTTATGTTTTGTGTACTTTGTTCAGCTTGCAGACAAAAGACATCATTCTCTTTCCTTAATCGACCAGACCTTCCAAGCCTGGCTTATAAGAGACTAAAAGGCAAAAGTCCAGGAATAATCTTCCTCCCTGGCTATCTTTCTAATATGAATGGTACAAAAGCTTTGGCGATTGAGGAGTTTTGCAAATCTCTAGGTCACGCCTATATAAGGTAGGAACACATTTCAGAGAAAATATTGCTACCATTTAGCATGGCAATGGAGAATTACTTCTCCTTTAACCAATTGAAGTAAATGCTAGCATTTTTATAGATTAGTCTATTTTGGTGGTCTGTAAACTTTCATTTTGTGATTTAGGGTCATTGTAAAAGCAACCTTTAAAAGACATTTTGTAAAGGTCTTTATGCCACACTGACAATGCTGGCAGGAAAGGACATCTTAAGGAAACCAGTGGTAACTAAGCTCTTTAGATGCAATAATCTGCATGACAACAAACAGATATACTAGTTGGCTTTCTTGTAATTGTATTATGGTTTTCTACTGGGGACTTAAGACTTTATTTGACTACTGTTTATTACCTTACTTCCTAAAATATGTATTTAAAAGTATTCTAAAATTAGTATTGTATAATTGGTTTCTGCTGAGTTTTCTCTTCCTTTTCCTATAATTTGAATATGTATAAGCATAAATAGGGATAGGTGATGTTTAACTAAAACTTGATTTTATAATTCCTAATTTTTCATACTGACAGTTATTATAGTAAAATAATTTGTTTACATTGTTGTTATTTGGTTTACTTACCTATGACAGTCATTTATTTAGTGTCTAATTTTCCGGAAGAGTTAGTATGGTTTAGTCGAAAGAATATTGGCCTGAAATTCAAGAAACATGGGTTCTAAAACAAATTCTAGCAATGACTGTGATAAGTCAGTTAATAAACACTAGACCTAATTTTGTCATCAAAAAATAAAAAAAAAAAAAGGAGGTTGGACTAAGTTCTTTTCTAACACTAACAGCCTAAAAATCTGTTAGTCTGACTGTTTAGGAGAGTAGTTTCACTAACATTCATTCAACAATTCTAGAAAATACAGCTGTATATAAAACTTTTAGACTATCTGTTCAGTGTACTAGTAGAAATTATGTCATATGGATTTAGTCTTATTTCTTTTATGAATTATTTCTTTTTATTATTATTTTTATTTTATTATTTTATGAACTGAATTATTCAATTTTCATGCTCAGAACTCTGTTTGTTCTGACTTAACTGTTATTCTGAAGATTATAGTGTTTTTTGGAAATAGACTCTGGCACTATACTGTGTGCTGCATAATATACAAAGAATCATAAAGTATTGTACTTACCCTTAAGGATCTTTCAATCAGGGTGGGAAAACACAAGATAAAATACAAAGGAGAAATTAAATGAAAATACTCATCAGAATGTGATTAAGTTTCAAAAGAGCAGTCTACTTAATTGCATATGGTGAGAGAAACAAAATGAGACTGAAGTGAATAGAAAAGACTTTATAAAGGAACAATGGAGAATAGTTAGGATTTGGGTAGGAGGAAAGTGCTATCTAGGAAGGGGGACTACCCTTAGCAGAACATCATAATACCAGAAATACTGTCATTTTTCTTTTTTGCCCCTGAAAGAATTTGAATCTAGAAATTGCCATTTTGCTGGTTCTTGAATTTCAGTTGAGACTGTGAGAGCTATAACCAGTTCCTGTCTCCCTATAAGACATAATGTGGGTTTTCTGCATTTTGGATGCTATATAAGTATACCTTTATAAAGTATATCACTTCACTACAAATTTTTAATTTGATAAATTCCTTTTTATTTGTACTTACCAAAGTTCATTGCAATCTAATCACTGTTAACTATTGATTTCATTTTAGTTTATTATAAGAGATTTTATCTTCTATTTTCATATTCTCCAATTTCTCAATTTTTGTGATTTTCACTGTAAAATTTAGACCTTGAATGATGATATAGTTTATTAAACAAGAAATAGTACATATGGCTATATGAAAATGGTTTATTAATGTCCTATCACCATGCCTAAAATAAGATTGAGTCAGGATCTCAGGACTATAACACAAGGTTATAACGCTAGTATTCTCTCATAATTATTTCTAATAGAATTTTAAATTTGGGACTATTACCCGGAACATTGAGGCTGCTTGGACAGAGATGTGTTAATTGTTTATAAAAGTCTAAGATGCTGAACATGTTTGAATTATTTTTGTCCCTGAATTAGGGTTCAGCAGAAGTGAGCTATATTTTTTTACTTATAACTTGCTAGCATTCCTAATTGTTTATATCTTCCTTCATGAAGGAGCTTTATAAGTATTTTGTGTCCTTACCGTATATTTGGAAGGCAGCTCACTGTTAAAAATGCAACATGTAGCGATATCCAGTTACCCACCAAGGAGGGGGAAAAAGAATTGGCTGGTGTCTTTCCCACCCACACCTCATCGTCTGTCTTATGCATACCCTGGATTGAGGGGGTAACAACTGATTTAAACTGCAGCTGCTACCTTGCTCTATTTCCCAAGGATCCAAAATCATTTCACTTCAAACCTAAGAAAACCTAAAGAAAAATTTCGTTTCTTCTTCCTTCCATTACTTATAAATCCCTTATCACTAAGGGAATATGAATATGCTATATATTACATATATATTATTTCACATTCTCTAAAAAGGCAAGGATTTATTGGTTTTTACCTGATTTTAAACATCAGAAAAACAAGAAATCTTGGATATTTGAGTTAAGTAATTCTTTTTACTTTTACCCTCCAGTTGAATTCACTTAGTGGATATCATTATTCTCAGTGTGTGAGGTTTCCATGCCTAGCCACTATGAAGAATATAGAGACAAAAATAAGATAATGGTATCCCCCCATACCCAGGAATGAACATAGAGCCTATTTTAGAAACAACAAATTCATCAATGTGGCTAAAGCAGTAGTTTCCTCTGATGAAGTAATAAAAGATTAATCTGAGATGACTAGAATATAATGGTCTAAAAAAACAAGCCAAAGCACTAAATTTTTATGTTGTGTTACAGAGAACCATCGAAGGTAATGCCATATCAATACAATGCTTAGGAAAAAACCTGACGGGTATAAAATGGAACCATTTGGAGACAGTCATAGAGACATACGAGGCTACTGTGATAGCCTAGGTTTACAATGACAAGAACTCACACCAAGATACTGGCCTTTCCAGAGTGCAAAAAGAGGGATGAACAAGAGAAGAAGTGAGATTGAATGATGATGGTATAGGGCAGACAGTATTCTGTTCCCTGGAAAAATAAACTTGAATAAAACAGTCTGCCCTTAGGGAACTGACATTCTGGTCAGAGGGAGACAAATATTTAAAACTTGATTACAACTCTTAATATGAAAAGTGTTGAGTATATACAAAAGAAAGTGACTGATACTAAACTGGACATATATGTCAAGCGTAGTTCCTCTAAAAGAGATGTTGTGACTTAAAGAATAACTAGTAGTCTGAGTGGTGCAGGAAGGCGTTCTAGGCAGTGGAACAGCATGCAGAAGCTCAAAGTTATGAAAGGGCTTATCTGGGAATTGAGAGTAGTTCCATATGACATGGGTTTAGGGTAATCTGTGGGCATGGTATGATACTTCATGATTTATTGAATTGGGACCTTTAAGGAGAGGTAAAATTCACAGATCAGAGAGACTTTGAGCCTAGATAGTTAGGAAGTTGGAAGGAAAAGTGGATGGGTTGGTGATGAATTTGATTCTCATCTCCTTCCCTTCCATTAATTCGGTAAATACATGCTAAGCACTTACCACTTGCAAAGAACTGATGTAGGTACTGGGAAAGTATTGGTGAACAAAACAAAGTTTGTGCCCTGTGGAGCTTTCACTCTAATGTGGGAGACAGACCACAACAAATAATCGAATATCTTCTATGTCAAGTAGTAATAAGTGTCATGAAGAAAATAAAGTAAGGAAGGAAATAGAGAATGATGAAAGAAGTATAATTTTAATGATTGAAAAGTCAGGGAACGCTTTTCTGGGGACATAACATTTGAGCCAAAGGCTTAAATGAAGTGAGGGAGCAATGTCAATGGCTATCTGGAGGTAGAGTATTCCGTAGAGGGAAAAGCTGATGAAGCAGGAATGTGTGGATGGTGTATTTCCTTTGACTTCAAGAAGAAAAGTGAGGATACAGTTAGAAGGAAGGAAAGTAAAAAATGAGATTAGAGAGGCACCAAAGTTTGGTAAGGACTTTGGATATTATTAAAGATTATAGAAAGGCTGTGGAGGGTTAGTCCAAGACATGGTTTTTGTTTTAAAAGAGTCACTCTGGCTACTCTGTGGGGAATAGACTATGAAGGTGGAAAATGGAGACAGGGAGACTTATTAGGAGAATATTGTATTTGTTCGGTTGAGAAATGATAATGACTCGGACTAGGCTTGTAGCAGTGGAGGAGGTGAGAAAATGATTGAATAGAAGAATTTGAATTTGAGGAATTTGAGGGTTAAGCCAATAGGATTTGCTGAAATATATATTCACTGTGATGTTTTACTGTATTTTAGGCATTGTAATAATGAAGAATGTGCTATCTTTCTTAAAAATAAAAAAGCAAATATATAGATATTTAGATTTTTTTTTCCTTTTTCCAGATTTGATTACTCAGGAGTTGGAAATTCAGGTGGTAACTTAGAAGAAAGCACAGTGGGGAAATGGAGAAAAGATGTTCTTTCTATAATTGATGACTTAGCTGAGGGACCACAGGTAACTGTTTTTGTTAAATATGATTATTGACTGTAACCTCGTGATATTTAAGCTATTTCTTTAGATATGAAAATTTATTTGATATTTTAAATGTTTAATAATCAAGTTTGATATTTGATTTAAAATTGTTTTATTATTTTTACTTTTTAATAAAATACAAGTAGCATTTTACTTTTTGTTGTACAGATTTTGTTTTATGTTCATAACTTACTCTGTATTATAGACCTAATACTTTAACAAAAAGTTAATCATGATTGAATTGTACTTTGTGCCAAATATTAAAAGTCTGAGAGCTACATATAATAGATAGATACAATAGATACACATACATTTCTATTAAACTACTGACTCCCCGTATAGACAACAAAAAGAAAATCCTCTCTAATAAAAACTAGACGTATTTTTATTTTTAGATACTAGTTGGAAGTAGCCTTGGTGGATGGCTTATGCTTCATGCCGCAATTGCACGGCCAGAAAAAGTCATGGCTCTTATTGGTGTAGCTACAGCTGCAGATGGCTTAGTGACACAGTTTAATCAGCTTCCTGTTGAGGTAAGTTACAGGTCGCTTTGGCAACCTCAGTATGTATGCCTCCTATCATTCTTCTCCTCCCTCTTTCTTTGAATAGTTGTTCATGTGTCATCTACCCCGACTTACCATGTTGGCCCATCTTTTGTCTTAGCT